TGCAACAATGTAGTCGAGGATGTAGCCGCAGTGAATTGAGGATGTAATAACAACGGAGAAGACCATGTGTGGCGATGCTGCGACGTAGCAAGGCAAGTAGCGCGGTAGCCTCATTGATCAGAGAGAAGGCACATATATAGTACTAGAGTATGAACTTCACGGGATCCCAAACACAAATGGTGATCAAAACGGTCACGCGGTGAGGCGAAGTAGGCAACAGGTCCTAGTTGATCAGACTGATTTCACGGAAAATTGGAGATAACAACGATGATGTTGAGGGTAGACTCAATAATGCTTCACTGACTTGTGCCACCTAGCCCTAGGTCGAGCGCTCAAACCGAAAAGACAAGGGCAAACAGTTAGAGCACGATCACTCGTACCAGATAGGATTACGTATCTGTATCAATTTCTATCTAGATCCAACATGCCTTGTTTGCCAAGTTCCATGGGGCTGTTTCCTCTCTTGATCAGTCGGCTCGGTCCACCCCTTGCTTGGGTGTGGGTTTTGGCCTTGATGAGGATACCCAAGTAGCAAACTCTCTTGTCTCACACATGTGAACACAATCTCTAACAATCAGTTCTCTCTTCATGTCGCTCTCAGCCTTCTCCAGTGTACGCACCTACACGCACAGTTATCAGGACGAGCACACATCCAAAACTCTGTCTTGCACTATTGCACAAAGCGTTTCTAGAGACGGGCAGGCCTATCTCTATCAAATGGTCTATGTTAATAGGTCATTTACAGAGGGATCTGCTAGCAGAACATTTTTAAAAATCAGGACCCCCCCCCCTCGGATAGTGGTTCGAAGTTTTGTGATTTTTCACGTGATGAAATACATGCATGTTTGCTTGATGAGATTCAAACCATGAGCTCTAGCCTCGCGCGACATCTCCGTACCACTACATTACACACTCACTTGTGAATATAAAAAATGCTATCTTTTTATATTAACATTTAGTAATCTTGTATTGAATATTTCGGACATAAATGATCTAAAATGGAAAAAAAATACTACAAATTTTTAGATCTGCCTAGTACTATACAACTTAAAATGAGCATTTGTGGACTCTAAATGCATGACTTCAAATTAGAATCTTATAAACTACAAAGTTGTAGATCATGTGGACCTCTACAAGTTTAGATTTATTTACCATGTAAACATCCAATTTTTAATTTTTAATTCTAAAATATGATAACTTAAAAACCAAATTTTACTATGTTAACCAGTGAGAACAACGTCACCAATGCCTTCGACCACCTCTGGTTATACTACTGCAACTATTTTAATTGTCTTGTCTACTCCTCTGATCAGTATGTTTAGAATGTCTACTTTTTCAAGTAGATCACACACTCGCATAGTTACTGCCATAAATATGTTTACTCTCTATCCCAAAAGGAGTGTTGCTATGAGATTCATACTGGCCAAAGTTTATTAAGTTTGACTAGATTTACAAAAAATATTAACAATATTTATATCTCTAAATAAGTTTATCATGAAAATATATTCAATGATTAATAATCTAATGACACTAATTATGCATCATAAATCCTATAATTATATTGGTCAAAGTAGAAATTTTTTTCTTGGGAGGTGAGATATTATATTATTTTTGGTTAAAATAGAAAATATTTTCTTGATTTCTTGGGAGGTGAGAATGACACTCTTTGTGGGATGGTGGGAGTATATATTTTTTTTAGCATCTTAACGATTAAAAAAAACTATGTGATAGTATATATAAAATTTATCTTCTTTTAGATTTTTCTAATGTATTAATTATATCTCATATCTTTTTTGCGGAATTAAATGACTAATTTGGTTATAAATCTCGATGAGGTCTACAACTTTCTAGTTTTGAGTTTTTTTCATTTGAAGTCGTTAAGATGCTCAAAAAAATTAATGACATATTTAGACTTAAGGGTGGAATTAAGTGATCGAATTCCCCCAAATTTCTCACAAGTAAGAGGTCCAAGTAAGAGTAAGACATATATATAACATATAAATTGTGTCTATATTATTCCAATCTAGGGAAAAGAAACTAAAAATGGGAGACTGAAGGAAGAGAGCTTAAAGAAAGGGATGGATGGAAGGTCAGGAATGATGGCGCGAGGCAGTGGAACGGGGGATTTGTTTGGTGCTGGTCGGGGTGGGGTGGGCCCACCCTCGCGGGTCCCACACGGTGTGGGCGTGGGGCCGGGACTAGACAAAGTTAAGGAATGGGTCGCTGTTCTTCTACGTCTCCTCCCTCCCTCCTTCCACTGCGAGCGAGAGAGAGCCGGCAGACTGCACCGCCGTACCCTAGCTTCTGCTAGCTAGTTCCTCTTCTTCCTCATCTCCCATCTCTCTTTCACTGTTCCCTTTGCCTGATATTCTCATAGCGGCCGTAGATTGCGATTGAGTTTCTAACTCCAGCTAGCTCACTCTCCTCTCCGATCGATCCGGCCACCGCTTGGTTTCCTTTTCCCCATACATACAAGAGAGAGAGAGATCAATCCCGTCAGTTCACATCATTTATTAGTTGGATCGGATCGATCAGATCAGCAACCCCGTTCCTCCCCGTTCCCGTTTGCACGGCAGTCATCCTTTGATCTCCCTCCCTCTCTCTCTGTCTCCTCCATAGCTTCTTTTTCTCTGTGCTAATACCTAGGTCAGGGGAGAGGCAGCAGAGAGATCGAGGAAAACAAGTTAGTGCGTGATTAGCCAAGGTCGATCAATCGAGCTTGCATGCACTGATTCATGCAGATCCATGAACTCTCTCTCATGCATGTTATAGCAAGGTAGGTATACTGCTACTCTCTGATCGATGCTACTATATATGAACTATTCAAACCTAGCTTAATTAAAGCAGTATATTGTTTCACCTGGATTATTCTCTAAACGTTTTATTATTTGGTTCATCTCGATCTACGTGGCTTGTTGTGTGCTTTCATCCTGTTGATATCATTAGTTTCTTTTTTGGTCATCAATCTTGTTGTTGTACGTACGTGTATCAACAATCTCTATCTGCTGTGACTTTTTTTTTTTTTGACAAAAGGTCTCCCCTGCTTTTATATTTCAAAAAGCTCTGCTGTGACATTCTTCTTGGGATCTGAACCAGATAATGACCTAGAGAGAGAACAACAACCAGCAGCAAGACAGGGATCGGAGACCGACGAAGAGAGAATAAAAGCTCATTCCTGTCTCCACCTGCACACGTACTATACCTTCAGCTACTACCAAAGCTAGTAGTAGAGATCTCTCTGCAAGGTTTCGCCACATCTCTCTGATTTGGGAAAGGTATATTCTCCATCTTAATTATGTTACTTTTCATGTTAGATTTGCATATAGATTTTACCGGATCCCGGAACCCTAGACACTATATAGTATATATATGATGTTTTGTTTGAATCTGACTAAGATGTTCTTGATCGCAGAAGAAAAAGCTATATAGCACGAAGTGTGTTCTTGCACTAATCTCTCTCTCTCTCTCTCTCTCCTCTAAATTCAGCATCAAATTACAGATAATCTTTACTTCTTCAAATCTACAAACACACGGCGCTGCAATGATTTTGTTCCCTTGAAATAATTTCGAAGGGCCAGATCAGCTTGCACGATTAATCACTTACCACCACCATGGGTGGCAGTAGAATTTGCAAGTGCAAATATACACCATTTTTTTGTTCTACACGCCATGTTTCAAAATGAAACCATTACCATTTCTTACTTGGATTGATCAATGTTTAATTCAGAGTTTTTTCTTATTTATTTTAGAAAAAAACATATTTTTTAGATGATGTGAGTTTTATTATTTAAAACAAGAAAACTAAATGAAAGAATATATCCCTGCGTCTTTTAGTTTGAGAATATGGCTGTGTGGTACACACAATTTGTTTTTCAGCAAAGGATTTTTCAACCTTTTCCAAGAGTTTTGTTTCACGCATGCACAACGATCTCTCCTGCTGTGTGTGTATATAATAATAGGGCCGGGTGAGGCCAAAATATTGTACCAAATATAATACATAGCATATATATGAACAATATACAAAGTATCTGTAGATAGGAGAAAAGAAGGATAATCATATATATGTGCCACATGCTCTCTTTTGCATATGTACAAGTTACAAATGTGCATCAGCTAGCGGTACGGTGTACTAACTTAAACGCAACGAACATTTCTTATCTTAATTAATAATAAACTAAGATCCCTAAGAATATATTACTGCCACACATGACTGACCATGGTATGGTAATTAATTAATCTATAATATGATAAGAACGTACATACACCAGTTCCAAATAATCAACACATCTCTCCAACAAACATCGATCAGAAGAATACAAAAAATGACGACGACACGCTTACTTATCACACCAAGTAGTAGCTAGCACATATGATCATAGACACGCATGCACCTAGCGCGTGAGTGCCACACTTTAGTGGGTGACCCCATCCAATGTTGGGTGAAATGCATGTATACATTACTATATGCACTAGAGGCCAGGCCAGCCAGCCTGCACTAGGGAGCGAGGGCCTGCATCCAGGACATGTATGATGAGAGAAAGTTAGCTTTGAGCAGCAACAGCAGCAGCAGGGGAAACATTCCACAAAGCGTAATGAGCGGTGAGTGGTGAATGGTGATGCTCAGTACCACATATATACTACACCACATGCAGTGCAAGGATTGAAGTCATTAGTAGTGCATGCGTCACTACTGCAAATGATCATGCTTGCTTCGAGTATTACTTTTTATCTGTCCATTATCACATGCGTACCCTAGCCTGCTGCCATGGCGGGTTAAAATTATGATCGACGGTACACATATGCATGCATTCATCCATTACATCCTGGCAGGCCGATTGGTTTAATATTTAGGTCGGTCGTCTTATAGTACCTGCTATATACTAGCTAGCATGCATGCGTGCATGATAAAAGATGTAAACGACTTAACGTAACATATGGTGGAATCATGTGTCGCATCCATGCAATTTCAGGTTGATCAGTCTAGTTATCTACCTAGCTAGATGGGTATGAGCAGCACACAAGCGCAGACGCAACAGCTGGTTCCTCCAGGTTTTCGATTCCATCCGACAGACGAAGAGCTGGTGGACTACTACCTCAGGAAGAAGGTAGCCTCAAGAAGGATCGACCTCAACGTCATCAAAGATGTCGATCTTTACAAGATTGAGCCATGGGATCTCCAAGGTCAGTATATTTACATTGTTATATATATGTTATTATCACTGATATATATAGATGTTTTAATCTCATCATCTTACACACACACACACACATATATTATTACAATTGGCAGAGAAGTGCAGCTTGGGAGGACCTGGCGAGGAGGAGCAGAACGAGTGGTACTTCTTCAGCCACAAAGACAAGAAATACCCGACAGGCACCCGGACCAACCGGGCCACCGCTGCAGGGTTTTGGAAGGCCACCGGCAGAGACAAGCCCATCTATGCCAACAAGCAGCGGCAGCTGGTGGGCATGAGGAAGACGCTGGTGTACTACAAGGGCAGGGCTCCCAGTGGCCACAAGTCTGACTGGATCATGCACGAGTACCGCCTTGAAACCAATGAGAATGGCCCTCCCCAGGCAAGCAAATTAAAGCTCTAATTTATTTACTTCATTGTATTAATTACTCTAGCTTAATTATCTATATTAATTAATTTATTTCACTGCCTACCAAATATATCATACAATGAGGTTTTGATCATTATATTCAGTATAGTATGATACAAGCAAGGAGTTTTACACTATATATCATACATAAGTTCAGATCATGACAATCCAAAAATATAATGCATATCATATATATACACATATTGGTCGTTGTGATATGTATTGATATTTATCGCATCCCCTCAGCAGCCAGCTGATTACCCTGCGTGTGTAGATTGTCGTTGTTACTCACAGCAGCCAGCTTTTTATCCTGCAGATTAGAATTATCATGAAGAAAATATAGATGCATTATAATTTATACCATCGTCATGCATGCTATATATATATTTTTTTATATATATATATCTTATTCATACATACCAACAGCAACCGTATAATGATAAGTGTATTTGTTATAAACTTAATTATAATGTTATTTAGAAGGATATATATTCTCTACTCATGCACATCGTCTCAAAGTTTATCCTATATAAAAGAACTTATCTGAATTTAATTGCCACTCTATCTCCTTTGTTACTTTGTTCCTGCTTTCGGTGATGTGGCGTACTGTGTCTTCCATGCATTTTATTTAGAACATGCATGTGTGCAACATATGGAATTGCTCATCTCCTGATCACTATTAGGGCACTGGACTTGATAATAAATTGATGGCATGGGGTTCAATCTATTAAGAACTATACCATTTAATGTTTTACATTTAAGATGGTCTTTGTTTTCTGAATGATCACATATACTTCATCAGCTACATCTTTCAACATATATATCTTCTATATTTCAGGAGGAAGGATGGGTAGTATGTAGGGTGTTCAAAAAGCGACTACCAACAACAAGAAGAGAATCGGACCATGATGCACCATGCTGGTATGTCGATGAAGATGGAACATTCATGCATGACCTTAACTCTCCCATGAGTGGAATGCCACCACACCACAGCATAGCACAGCTGCAAGAACAACACCTCCAAATGCTGAACAATAGCTACAAGAGGGAACTGAAGCTACAATTCCAGATGCCAAGCCATCATATTCTCAATGCCATTCCTCACGAGCTAGAGACTCCATCCTTCCATTCTCTTTTGGTCTCACCAGACCATCAAACTAAAGCACACCATGCTCACCAACATGTTCAGCTCATGGAGCATAATGCAGTCGACCAAGTCACTGATTGGAGAGTTCTGGACAAGTTTGTTGCATCTCAACTTAGTCACGGCGATGCAGCAAAGGGTGTTGTCGATTATACTGATGAAGGAGATATCCTGCAGGTAAATGAGAAGCAAGAGGTGGCTACCGATTATGCATCAACGTCAACATCCAGCAGCCAAGTTGATCCATGGAAGTGACGATGATGAAATTAATCAAACATATTACCTCATATAAAATATTATATTAAGAGCTACAATAATATATGATGATTATCATATCGGATCAATTGGGACATATAAGTAATTTGATCTACATAGTGGCGTGTAAATAAGACTATATATTGAGTTGAGTATCTGTGTACTACTTATTATGTCCTTCAGGATGTTGTACTGAATATACTTATCACACCGTGTTTCTATATAAATAAGGTCATGGAGAACTTAGAAACTTCATGAATCATGATTTGTAATAGGTGATACTCTTTCAGTTATTATGTGATACTGAGCTGTTGGTCTATCAACCAATTAACTCGAGATAACCATATTTAGATATTTCATTTTGCAGTGATTCTATATATACAGTACCTTTGGCATCACATTTTTCTTGGAGTGGATACTATTAGGACAAGTTAGATAATATGGAATCTTAAACTGATATATATGCTTAAACATGCATTCTGGATCACAAACGATATACACAATAGTACATCCATACCAGTATTGATTAGGAGGATGCCATAACCAATAAAAAAGAGTTTAGTTCAGTTTGCTAAGTGAAACCTTGTGGAACTTGGAATTATTTATCTGAACTTTTTTCGAAGAACCAATTATATGAGTTGTCACAACTTACCTATGGAGACTATATATATTGCGTACCATTTTTTTGCCAGCTATAATCCTCAAGCATTACTGCCCAACACTTTTCAGTACACTTACCCATACTACTATATGTTTCTAATACTTTTAACCCTTTTCTGAATAAAAATAAAAAAAGAACTGCAAAGAGAAGTACCAGCAGTTCTACATAGAAAAAGATGGGGGGAAATATATCAAAATTAATAAGGAAGGTGAACCATCGTTTTCCTATATGTGATCAGAAAGATGAACCATCATTCTCTGTATGCAGGGATGATGTGAACCTAACAGGGATCAGCTCATTAAGTAAAAATAATCTTCTTTCCTTCTACTCTCGAGAAAGAAAATAGCTAGAGAGTACATGCCTAATTCAGTAATTCCTCGTTTCTAGAAACAAGACCAAAGGTATAGACGAATTTTTTTACTGAGATAGAATTCTATACATGCATTTGTTTTGTCTCCTTAGATGTGCAATTGTGCAAACAGCTAATTTGCTCGAATAAAATGCATTCAGGGCTTTAAGCAGGTCAGCTATGGTTTACTGTTTCTGGGTCCATAGGCTATACATGTATTACTGGGAGCATAAAATTCATCCACTATTTACAATTAATGGGCCGGGCAATGAGTTTCAGGCCAGGATATTAGTGGCACTGTCATGCAGACTTATTAGATAACACGGTACCTTGTTACTACACTGGTCACATCAATAAGAAATCCTAGCCCAGTGTAACTATCTATGAATGGGGACGTGTATGGTTCTCCATTACGGTTCTGACTAAATGAGCAATGCAAAGGACAAGGAGCGTAATTGATAAGGCAGAGCTCGACAGGAATACCATAGTAAGCAAACTAACGGGTATATCTAGAGTGGAATGTATGCTCTACATTTGTACTAGAAATTAAGATAAGATTAGCTCAAATATAATTCCAAGTATATAAGCATAAGAAACAATATGGAGAATATCAAAGGGTAATGCACCAAAAGCTTGTTCAGATCATCATGAACGAACAGGCCAAAGAAAACAAAACAACTAAAACTCGGTTTAATCATGCATACAGTTATCAGCACATTCCATTTGCATCGCTACAAGTATGTACTTCACTAGGAGTTAGGGAGAAGCTGCTGCATGATCACCTATTCACGCTTAGCTTTAGATCACTAACTTATTTTTAGGAATAGTAATCTGTCTAACTAGCATGTTCAGGAAAAAAAAAACTAAGCTAGCAGCTCCTCTCTCATTAGTCATCAAACAGTATAAGGACAAGTTAAGAAGCGAAGGCATATCATTTATTTTCGAAGGGACATACGTAGAATGGTAACATATATAGATTGGCTATAATGAGTTTGACCAGCTAGCAGTAATTAAAGAAATTTCTATCTAGAGAACAGGTAAAAAGAAAAAAAAATGACAAGTCCACAAATATCATGGTAACTAATGACATGAAAGAAAGGTTGATAACAGTAACATAACTCACCTACCACTGAGAACACGCTGGTGATCATGGCCCAGGGATTATGTGGAACAAGCACAAGCTAGATGACAAAGATTACAGGAGAGAAAGGGCCGGATAGCGACACCACCTTAAGGAGTGGTGCCAATGTAGAGAGTGAAGGGCAATGCTTCCTGACCGATGCTTTAAGGGATCAAAGATAGCAAAGCATGCATAGGAGCAGCAAAGAAAGACATGCGTGTATGCATTGCATGCCTCCCACCAACTGATCGAGCTTCCGGCTTATATAGTGCAAGAGCCCCACATACACCTGACCGCAAGCCAGCCGGCCATGCAGTGCAGTCCACACACCCTTGAGAGCAATGCAAGCATTACACACTCCAGAAAAGCATGGTCTGCATCACACCTCTCAACTACTTCCCAGATGTGTATACTGATAGATGGGACACATACGGCCCTGCATGTCAGTGGCTGCAGTTCCTGTGAAAAAAGAGGCAAGCCACAATATGATAGGATTATTTGCGCGTGTATGAGGTTTAAAAGGAAGGTGTGGAAAAGGCAGGTGTGTTGGGAACCAGGCAGGCAACAACATGCATGCATGCATGAGATCGATGGGCAATGAGATGAGAAGGAGAATAGAAGTAGGTATAATTAAGTACACAGAGAGGGGAGGGTGATGTTTGTTTGTAGAGGAAGATAACATGATGCCTGTGTGAAAGCCTTCATGTGAGACCCCATCATGTCTGCTCGCAGCCCTTCTAAATCTCTAGCTAGTTAGTAATCCGCCATACGCAACTGCAGTTTTCACACTGCATGTACAATCATTCATATGTCAATCTTAATCCAAGCAACACAAATAAAATAAAGGAATATATAGACGTGAAGTCTCATAGAGAGAGATGCACTTTGAACGCTTGACATGCATAAGAAACTAAGAGATAGATAAGGGAAAAGGCTCCTTGTACTTGCCTCATTATTGCGTTCATTGCACGCTGGAGAAGTATGTATCATGTACTCATGGATCAAGACCCCTCAGCTGCCAAATATAATCACATTGGTTATTAAATCCACCATTTTTTTGTTTCACATAAAAGAAAACAATATATTAATTCTGCCTATCTCAGCAATTAATCGAATCATTAGACTGCATGCAAAAGAATAAGACATAGGCCATTTAATTCAGATCAAGATTCTTTATTGTCCATTTGTCTGATCCATGCATGGTAGCAGGGGAGGGATGTTTCACTTCTATAGTCTTATACATAAAACAGCATAAATAACTTCAGAATGTGCAGGATGACCAAGGTGAAATGTATCCAGAATTTGACTCAAAGAACTATAGAACAAATTAAGCTCTGTTTTAATCCACAAGAAGAAAAGGTAGTATCATCCAAAACAGGGGACACAAATTTCAATTCGATATACTCTTTCCCTGATGATGTGCTCTATATTAAGCCAGATGCCCTATCAAAGTAGCAACCCTTTCTAAATGCTGCTTGTTCCTAATGTTTTAGCTCCTTTTTTTATTTGTTTCTGAAACCAAGTGTAGTGTTTTTAACTCTAACTCCTAATCTTAGTGTTATATATGATTGAACTTATGAGCATTCAACCCCACCCCTGCACACCTACCACCATTGACCAAGCTTAGGTAAGAAACATCGGATTGCATCCCTACATGTCTAGTTATCATGTAACAACAGGTATATTTTTTTTAACTTTTCTTAATGAGGTTAATTTCTATAAACTCAATTGCATTATATGTCTAGTTGTATATCTCTGGGTCGCTCAATCCAAAATCAAAGTACTTTCTAGATCTTTTTTTATATGTCTAGTTAAAAATATCCGTTTCAGAAAAAAAAAGTTAAAAAAGAGAGGCAGAAACAGTCATTATCATGGTTCCAGAGTTCAGACTGAATGCCACTAGGTGGCAGCCAGCAGCATAATCTGAAATACTAGGGCAAGGAAAATTGGTGGAGATATGGCCAGAAGCCACTCCAAACTTGCGTGCTGCTACTGGGATCGGGAACACCAATCCTGCCGCCGACTGAAGTGGCTGCATATGCAACAATGATTGCGGCGTGTCTCTTGCCTGGAATTGATATGGCATGACTAAGCTGCACCTGTATGCATCACTCATGACGAAGCAAAATACACTCATGAGTTGAGTTGGGCATAGAGCCAACCACACATGAAGACCATTCCCTAGCCGCAAGCAACCACAGTGAAACAACAATAATGCAGCTAGTTCTGGAGGTAGAACTGTAGAAGCAAGCAAGCATGCATACGGTGTGGAGCCGAGCTCACTTGGGGGGTTGGGGCCGGGGGCAACAAACAAGGGGACGATGCTTCTTCCATCAGTGATTGCTGTTTACTCTACCAGGGACCGGATGCTCAGAAAAAGGCATAAAGGACACAAGCAAAAAGGCTATGTTGAGTTGCTTTTAAGCGTCAGCACAGGTGTTTGTCCTAAGTATCTCTCTCACGTTTACCACTGCTACTTCTTTTGACAGTCCCGAGGAGTTTGTTTACCCAGCTACATGTTAGAGCTAACATGCTGAGGAGTAAAATAAGAAGCAGAGTACCTCATAAATTGTTCATTTAGTTTTCAGTGTGTTTGTCAATTGTAGAGCTTCTGCTGCAGGTTATTTAGTATTTATTTCAGGCCAAGGTCAATAATTTTCCATAAATCATGTAGGAATTTGTTTAAAAAAATAAATCATGTAGGGAAGCAGGCAGAGCCATTAATTACCTTTATCAAGGATTATTATGGTCTCATCCATAGCCATGTGCAGTTCAAATAACACTGCAAGAGAACAACCTGGAACCAGTCCAGTAGCAATACGAAGAATGACCTGACCAAGTAATTAGCTTTAACATCTATCACGGCTAATGAAGCAGTAAATCACTAGCATGGCAAGATCAGACTAATATTTTCAAGAAAATAGTTTACCAGATTATACAAACCAGAGGGTACGACTGTGCTGGTATAGTTAAATTTGTTCCTGGAAAATATCTATCTTGACTTATGGCAATTATTAGTTCAAGTTGTTAATTACTTGAGAGAATTACAAGGATTAAGGCAACCGTTGATCACCATGACCAGCTCCCATTATTAACAGTTGACCGTATCGGCGCCTCTGATAGTCTGATGAGTTCATCTTATCCATACAAGAAGTGGTTCAAGAAAACAAAAGTGAACTGTTTGTTCAAACTATTCAATTCAATTCCAGATCAAGTATTTAAGAGCTATTTCATGGACACTCAAGATTTGTGACAGTATGCACTAGTCATGTACTGATGCTTCTCAGAAAGTTAAGCACTTTAGCAGTTAAATGGTGCGTGACCTTTTTTGAAACATGTTTCAGGGAGCAGGCAAAGCTGCTTGGTCGCTTGGACATATTCCCTGGTGGCTAGTAGTAACGAGCACAGTTAATAAACTGTAGAACAGTATGTATAAAAACTGCTACTCATCAGGAAGTAGTGATAAAAAGGCAGCAAAGTATATGTATGATAATGGCGAGTTCATGTAGTGGAGAAAAAGGATTGTAGAAGAAAACAGCAGCAAAGAGAAGAGGAGATGTGTTTAGATGTCTGGTTGGTGGCAATATTTTAGTATATAGAAGTTCAGTTTTTTATTGCAGAAAGAACTAATACAGCAAGCACCAGCTTTGCAAAAAGACTAAGGGCGGAAGACAAATTTAATTGGTAGCTAGCACGAGGAATGAGAATGTAGTCAAGTTTGATGAACAGGTGGTTTCTTACGTGGTATTTGCGTATTTACCTTAGAACTGGTGAAGAAGATTGGGCACGGAAGACGACGGCAATGAGCTTTTGTTCGTTTCCTTGAAGAAGCTTGTTGCTGCAGACAGGCAGGCAGGCAGCAAAGGCTGGGTGCCTGAGCCCTGCCAGGGAGGAGAGCAGGGGACGGCAATACCATCGTCGGCGCAGCGGTGAGCGGTCACATGGCAGACGGCGCTGGCGGCCGGAGGAGGCGAAGGCTTCTTGGGCCATAAGGGAAAGCCATCACCAAATCAATAAGATTGATTGCTGGCCCGAAATCACCGGATGACATGGACAAAAGGCCCAACTCACAATTGTTGTTCCGTAACGTATCATTCAAGTAGCCTTCCTCCTCCATCCAGATCATAATAACACGGGAGTTAATCAATCAATCAATTAGCTAGGCTATATAATCCCCTTCCTCAAATAAAGGAGCTCATGTTGTAATTGTTAAATGGAGCCCAGCCAGAAGCACAACAGACTCCATATAATATAATACTGTGGTAAGTACAGCACAACACAAACTCAACAGCTTCATGTATGTAAAAGCTGCAAACAACATAAACCTCCCAAGCCAAAATTGCTCAAAGTCGCCAAGTTTGGCGCAAGTAGCAGACCCTACTCATCTTATTCAATCTTGGTTATATAACAAAGTGTTTCAGCAAAACCTCATCGGAAGCTCAATAAAGCTTTGCTAAAAGGAACAGCAGCAGCCTGCAGTTCAGTGCAGTTCTTCCATTGGTTGAACAGGTCAAACTTGCTCGGTTCTTCATCAGTACTTGCTTCGCCACGCGTTCCAGTTAAGCTTGAGCTGATACCACAGAGGAGAGACCCCGTGGACTCCCCTCGACAACCGAGAATCAAACACATTGAACTCACATCTTCGCAGGGTATCCAGGAGGACCTGGGCCGGCAAGGCTGGGAGGAGCACGGGGATCGCGTCTTTAGGCACCGACGATGCAAGCTCCCGCGCCTTGTGCAGGTGAGCCTCAGCAACAGATGCAACCTTGAAAACTGCGTCTGGCAGCCTCTCGTCCATCCTGACCTCTGATCTGCCACCCTCCCGTGTGAGTAGGCCACATTCCTCAGCCACACTAGCTGGGATATAAGGTACTGTCCCTTGCTTATTTACATGGTGAGGCAGTGCCTTGAGCAGTAACAGAAGCCCGCTGGCTTTGCTGATGTGAGAGGCGGCGTGATCAGCGACGGTGGACTGTATCCCACCAGCCTGCAGGGTCATGTAAAGGATGGTGGACTGGGTGTCTTCCACGTACCTCTCCAACTCAGCGCTCGTCTCGGGAATGGTGCCCTCGTCACGGTTGGCATCGTTTATCCTTGCCTCCACAGACCGCTTGAGCCAGTGCTTGCTCACCTTGTGGCCTGCAATGACCGAAGAGAGCGCCTGGGCAACGGGGTGCTCGACCAGCTTGTTGGCAAAGACCTTGTCGACGGCGTCCTTCCACCAGAGGAGGCGCATGAGGCCAGTCCGAGGGTCAGACACGACGTCCATGGCCTTTGCCGTCTCAACGTTGAAGGCGCGGAAGGTGAACGCAGCCTTGCGCATGTCCGGAGGCAGGTGGAGAAGGCAGAGGTAGTGGTGGTAGTCATAGGCACGGACTTGCCTGACACAGTATGAGAGGGCTGCCTGTAGGCTGCTGCTTGCTGCTGGCGTGCCACTCATGAGCCCTGCCTTCCTGTATCAGGAAGGAAGGTCCCTGCACGACACTGAAAAGGAAATGCAGAGTGTTAGATTAGATTCTGTGTATACAACAGCTGAGATTGGTAAACGTAAACCGAACAAGGTATGCTAAGTTACTGATAAACGAAATGAAGAGGCAACATGAATCCAAAAGGAACGCCTGCTTCAGTTTCAGGGGTTCATAGTGCTGAATATATAAACCAAATATAAAGTAGGGAATTCGCAGGGAAATTAAACATGACATGTGCACCGGTAAATTGCAATTGGTGTGGGGCATCCAGTAGTGCGATCAACAACGCAGACGCAGCATATCGAGTGGAAAGAAATGTGGCAACATAGATGGACAAACTAACTGCATTTTTCATTTAGAATGAAATGAACCGCTGCTGGCTGAATCGATGGTGACCTAGCAGTAGCAGGTGGGAGGGCAACTGAGGATGGGAGACCGCCTGGCGTGGCCGTGGTGGTGGCTAGGGCCTAGGGAGGTCATTACCGCCTTACCGGGCACCGGAGGGTCAGAACCCGGTGACAGCGGCCGGCCGGCCGCCGGAGGCGCACCACGCAGCGCGTGGATCCGCATCCTCAGGCGAACTAAGACTAGCATGCAGATGCGGCGCGAGCCAGTGTCTAACAGAAGCAGGGAAGAGCACAGCAAAGCAAAGAGGGAGGGATCCTTCTCTGAATGAAGGGAAGCGTACCTGTGCGTCGCCGGAGTACCGGAGACGGGCGGCGGCGATCAGCTCTGCCCGTGTTGCTGTTGGGCGGCGGAGTCAATGGATGGGCCTCTCAATTTCCTTCTCCTTCTTTTGGTCGGTTCGGTTAACATCAATAAGTGGGCTGGCCCCGGCCCAAATTGAAGTATTATGGGCCAAACCGGAAAGGTGTCGTCCTCCGGCCGTGCAGGGTGGGGCGTTTATCCGACTCGTCTCTCAGCGACCGCCCACCACTCATGCTCAGCAGCCCGGCGCGGCAGCGGCAGCGGCAGCGATGCTCCTCCTGCGCGCCAACACGCTCGCCGCCGTACCGGCCTCCTTCTCCACGGTGCCGGCGGCGTCCTATAGTTACTTCCCCTGGCCCTCTTCCTTATCCACCACTGCCGCGCGCTGCTCCGTCGGCTCCACCGCCAGGCTCGCCGCCGCCGTGCAGTTCGATCCCCTCCGCTCCGTCTCAGGCTCCGACTCCGACCCGTGGGTGCAGCCCGACGGCGTGGTCACCGCGGAGGGCGGCGAAGAGCAGCAACGCGATGACTCGGAGGGGGACTCCACCGACTGGGAAGAGGAAGGGCCCCAAGGATCGGACCCCAAGGGCATCTCCGGCATCCACGTGCCGCGCCAGTGCTACATCGCCGTCCCCAAGGCGGCCCTCCTCGACGCCGTCCTCTCGCAGTTCGCGTCCGACGCCGACGCCGCGGACTTCAAGCGCTGCGCCAGGTGTGCTAATGTTATTTCCCACTTCGCCAACAATCTAGCACAGTACTAGTAATTATTTCATTTCACTCCCTCCCTGCTCTGCAGATGCTTGGACGCCATCCTTCACGCCGAGCACAAGAGGATGCTCGAGGAGATGCGCACCTCTTACATGCTCACGCAACGCCACCAGGAGGAGGGCGATGGCAGTGCCACTGACAATTCTTCGACCTCCGACGTCGTCAACGGCAAAGACTCCTCTGGATTTTTCGGCATTACCCAACAAGACGGCACGTTGTTCCTTACTAGAAGCTTAGGCTTGAGAACTCTGCTCGGATTAACCCCAGACCCTGATTCCCAGACCAGGTAATAATAATAACAATAACAATGATAGAAACGGATACATGAATGCTCTTAAACTCTAGTTGCTTATAAATTCAGTAAGCTACATCCATGCTAAACCACCTTTTTTTTTTTTTGAGAAAAGCCATGCCAAACCACCTGACCTGACTTTTTTTTCTTTTTGGGCGAAGGACCTGACTAGTGCCTCTACTGACTGATTGCTATTGTGTGACTGCCGTGTTTTTTTTTTTTAAAAAAGAGTTGCTTTTGCAACTCAGTTTCAGCGTTCCTTCATGAACCTACTACGCAATGCTCAGTTTGAAGAGCTCTCCGCACAAGATCTGCTCTTGACGTACGCCCTGAATAGTGATTACCTCCTCACGCTGCCCATTTATGTCGATTGGAAGAAGGCTGCTCAATCTAATGCAATAATATTCAGGTCACACTTGTCTGATTCATATCTTTAAAAGGAACTATCACTCTTTGTAGAATTACTCCAGACATCCCTTATTTTTCCTCCCTTATACAGGCGTGGATATGCGACCGAGAGACAGAAAGGCCTCCTGTTGGTTGAGAAACTTGATTACTTGCAATCAAAATTCTTGCAGAATGTCTTCTTCGGCCTCTCCAAGCCCTTGAAAAAGCCAGGCAAATGGCTTAATGAGGTCAGTCAATCTTTCTGTCCTCACATGTTACATGCCTAGTGTTCATGATCTTCAATGTGACTGTGACCTCTTACTTATTATTATATCCTGTTCACCTGTCATACAATCAACACTAACTCTTTAGTGGCTCTAATACTGTTGTACACAGTACACACACAGAGTTGAAAGAGATGGTTCTAGTGGGGAAGTAACATTTGTCTCGGATTATCTATACATGTTATCATAACAGTTTAGGAGCTGCAGTTATTATTGTGCATCACAGTACATGTGCTTTTAGTTCTTTGGCCAATTAACTCAAAAGCATCTATTGCTACAATCCATGTGTGCTCTTAGACCATTGCAAATGAGCTAGCTAACTATCAGAATTCGAGAATAATTTAAATGCTGCAGATTTCGCTACTTCTAGGCAACTTGTTATGAAATCAGCATTCCAATTATGTTCCTTTTTTTCTGAACTCTTACGGATTTTGCGTGTCACTCAGAACTTTTGGCTAATTGTATGTGATTATTTTAGTTCATGGCAGGCTTTGAAAAGATCAACAGATAATCCGGGATTTCAGATCTGGATCGACAAATTAAGACTCTGGCTTAAAGAGCAAACTTATGCAGATAATTCACTGCTGTTGATAGAAAGCTCTTCATGGGACAAGCTTAGTTCTGATCAGTTACCTGATGCAGATGTTCCTATTTGGATCGCTGCACAAAGGGCAGTCTCTCGTTATGAAGGAATTCTGTCACCTGTTGGTCCTCGTGGAAGACTGTTAAGAAAATTGCTTAAATGGACTGGATTTATACCTTCTCTGCCAGAAGCAACGATAAGATCCAACAATGAAACTAAACATCTTGAAGGACATGTGAGGTTAGAGCCCAAGTATATGCATACTGTAGTTTTCTCTTCACTTTAGGGATACTTTATTACATTTTGGTAATATTTGTAGTTTGTGCAAATGAATGCAGCCCAGCTCTACAGAATTATTGCATAAGACCAAGCTTGTTATAAACTTCCAGATTTCTGAAGCATAGCCCATATTCGATTGTTCCTTTGCACATATTCTTCTAGCTACAATAGATATTACTATTATCATTTTATTGTTTATATACATAAATGTGGAAAGAGTTTGCTATAACAAACAAAATTGTACCCGAAAAATTATATGAAATGGTTATTTACTCATTTGCTTGCTAATTTCTTTTGTTGTGATATTATATAACTCGACCATTCATATCATATTTCATGACTTTGTAGGCCAAACTTTCTACCAAGAATTACCCTTGCTAATATATGGGAACCTGCAAGCAGAGAATCTTGCAATAACAATATCTGGGAGATAGTGAAAGCTTCTTTTGGTATTCTGTTTGGGAGGTCTACTCTTCAGGTATGTAGAAAGTTGATTTTGGATCATCCATTTCTTATGATATGATTGTTGCAATGAAAAGGTATGAGTGGTTGTGTTGGTTCAATAGCTGATTGATCACATGCTTACATCAAGCGCAACAAGAAAAAAAGAACAGGTTACACTAAAAACACACACATGGCCATGAAGTGCCTTGGACAGCAATACAAAAAAAAAAGGAGAGAGAGAGAGAGCTATAAAAGCAATTAAAATGGCATAGGATGGACACGGCCTTTGTTCAAAATAATTTGACATGCTACTACCATGGATAGAGAACTGGCAATATTTTAATGATTTATCTTTTGTTCTGCATAGACTTGGGTATCAAATTAAACTAGAAACTTTGCCAGGAACCAGCATTCCAGGAGTTAATACTACTTTACACTGATGAAGCTGCTCAAAGTGAAAAGAAGGATACATCTGAGATGCTTCCACTACAACTGAAAATTTATGAGAGGATTCCTATCCCAGATCTGCCAGTAAGTCCCTGAGTCTCAGATAAACCGGAAAAATAAAATTTATCGTTTCCTAGATGTTTAAGGAAAACAATGTTTCCCAGATCTAGAGTACATTTCATTAATATCATCCTAGTTAGAAGGCTTGCTATCTATTGTCATTACTCAGATGAGAAATCTATTGTCTTGATTACTTTAGTACTGATGAAGCCTTAAAAAGCCTTCACACTGTTGTATTGGCATCATAGTGACTGTCATGCTAAAATTTGTCTGCAGGTAGTTTTTCCCCACAAGGAATTGTCCTTCCGCATCCTAGATACAGTAATTCTCTATCTAACCTTTTTTTTACTCTAATCAGTAATCACCTGTTGTCGATGTGGACCCTTACTATATGACTTGTATACATACATGAGATTCTTTTCTGTTCCTGCACATAGGTTTGTTGATAGTTTGCCTTTAATGCAGGTAAGGCTAGATATTGCTACTGTAATAGGTCTATTGGCATATGTTGTGAACTACAAATTTGAGAGTTTAGCCTCATCTCCGTAAGTATGTAATTTGTATCAGTATTGGCTGATGGAACCACATTTTAATTAATAAAATTATATATAGTGGTTTTGTTTCTTGCATGGTAATGCAGGTCAGCTTTTCTTCTTGATATAGTTGCTGGTAGTGCACTTGTCATACTTGTGTTCCGTGTGGCACTGGGCTACAAACAGACCCGGGATAGATACCAGGTAAATCATTTGCTTTTTTTTTTCATTTGTTACATCACAATAGATCCTTTAGTTGACTGTATATCTTTTTTTTCCAGCTTCTGGTGAATAAAACACTATATGAGAAGACATTGGCAAGTGGGTTTGGCTCGGTTTACTTCCTTCTCGATGCTTCTGAGCAACAACAGGTTTGTATTCATCACCGAGCAGGCAAAGCATGATTCTCAATTTTCGGCTTGCTGTTTGAGGCAAATGATTCCTTTAATGATTTGGTTTTGTGCAGTACAAAGAAGCACTTTTGGCATATGCGATGTTACTCTGCAGAAAGAAGTATCAGGTATGGCATGCTCACCTTTGATACCCTGATACATAGTGTTCTTTTTGAAACTCACTGATACCTAGTTGATAGTTGTCACATTACTAACTAATCCACCTTTATGGTCCTTTGCAGGTATCATCTCGTGCAAGCATAAAAGATACATGCGAGCAGTTTATGTACGAGAAATTCAAGGCAAAGGTGAAAGCCTATGGATACATTGTTCTCGTTCTCATGGTGTGGCATGAGATGCGAATATATAATGGAAATTCTGAAGTATTTGGGTTTGCTTGTAGATTGAGATGCCGATTGACAAGGCGATGGAGACACTACTGCGGCTGGGGCTGGTGATTGAGCTTCCAACCGATGGTGGGTCAAGCGTGATTGGTCTCCCATGTTCGGAGGCATACGAAATCCTGAAAAGCCGTTGGGATGGCTTGTTGGAACAGGAGACAGAGCAAGGTAGGTGGACACGTGCATGGTGATGATATATAGGTAGATGGACACAGATTCATGGCGATGGACCAATGGTATATAATACTTATTCGTTTGCTGTGCAGGATGATGAGACATGTACATTGGTGGTTTTGTGTTCTTGGAGTGAAGTGGAATGCAGTGCAGAGACCATTGTTGCAGTAAATCGGATAGAGGAGGTGCTGGTACTTTGTGCTGCTTGACGTGTCGGCAAAGCTGAGGCAAGACGTATGCGTTGAGTCTGAGATGAGATTGAGCTCTCTCTTATAGGAGGCAGTACTAGCAACATAGCAGTATATATACCAGTTGTGTATAGTGGATATTCACGCACTAGTAATTCAGAGTAGAAGATCGAGCAGGCGAGAAGACAGACGATGCCAATGAAGCGAGATGCAGATGGATGGATGGAGAGATCGATCAGGTGGTACTTAGATAGGTAGGTGCATGTATATGCTTGTATCATTGTTGCAGCTATATATGGTTGTAGGTTCTACCAAGTGTATGTGTATATTTAGTTCATCAAAAAAAGTGTATTATGTGTATATGTGCGACGTGCATGCATAATCGTGAATTCGCACAGTATGTTATACACGATGGCAGTGTATGTATATGGGCGTTTTTATTTGTGAAAAAAAAATACTACTAGTATTTTCGAAAGAATTACCGTCTCAAACAAATAAAAAAGAATTACAAAGATAATAGAACTAGTAACTCTGACCTGATGGGATCAGGTTGTTGCAACGAATTTCCGTGAATTCCTCCGATCCGAGAAATTCGTGAAATTGGAGGGCCGGTGCAACTCTCCAGTTTCTGCGTGAGTCGTTATGGTGCGTGCGCTTCAGTTCTCGCTCGCTCGCTATATACGGAGTATATAATAACAGCAACTTCCTTTATTTCTTCTCCGACGATCTATCTCGATCGATCTCTCTCTACCCTTGAGCCATGCATCTCTCTCTCCCTCATGATCTCTCTTTTTTTGAAAAATGTGATGATCTCTTCTCCTCTCGTACTAATTTGTTTGCTTCTTTACTTTTTTATAATTAAAAAAGTTCCCTTCATCTTTATTCATCAGAGGAAGTAAGCTTAGCTCAACTTAGTTGAGTGAAAGGTGTGGTAATGCACCCAATCACCCAGTTCAAGTCCTCTTGATGGAATTTGGATGCCTTTTTCTTTTCTTAGTTAGCGTTTGGTTGGAAGACAAGATGGAGTGGGATGTTCCTGTCTCTGGTATGTGGGACGGGACGATTTTATTTTCTGTTTGGTTGAGAAAGGATGAGACCAACCCGTTTTCAGTTTGGTTCAGAGACGGTCAAAAGTAGGATGAGCCACTGATTAAGTAGGGCCCATCTGTCAGTTTTTTTTCTTTTTCTTCCTTCTCTTGTCCCTCTCGTCCTCAACCGCAGACCAACACCACCGGGCTCGCGCGGCTCCGCACGTTCGCACCGCCTCCACCGCGTCCTGTTGCCCCGCGCTAGCGAGCTTGGCCACGCACCACCCCACCGGCAAACCTGGCTGTGGGCTGCCCGGCGCCTCCTCCTCTGCGGCGGCGGCGGCGGCAAGGCCGGCCCCAGAGCTCGCACGGGTCCGCGCGGCTAGTCGGGGGCAGAGCTCGCCGGTGCCGGGCATGGCGGCGCCAGGGGCGGAGCTCGCCCCATGGCCGCACGCCAGGGCTGGGGCAGAGCTCGTGCTCCCATAGCCGCATGCCGCGCCGAGGCTCGGGGCGAATCTGCGCCCAGCTCTTCCCCTCCGTGTCCGACGACGAGCTCGCTTTCTTCATCAACTCCGGCGTACGGCGTGTCCTCTTCTTCATCAGGCTTCTCTTCTTCGTCTCCGCGCTCGAGCTCCTCTTCTTTCTCACGGGCTCGCTCGTCCCATGGGGGATGACCCCGTCCGCCAAATCTGAGGGGACGAGCTCGCCCCCAGATTCCATGGAATATCCTAGGTGGGATGTGCTTGACTCTGATTGTCCCCAAACCAAACACCTAAAATCTGGGTTCATCCCACCCCCATCCCATCTCATCCTTGAACCAAACACTACCTAATGATTAATGAAAAACCACCTAGGTTGGATCTCTTTTTTTTTTTGTTCGTTCATCTTCATTCATCAGCTGTTGTCACTCACCTTTGGCAGGTTTCTGTTTGTTTGAGTTCCGTGTGTTCTTGCAAAGTTGCTTTCTCTGCTCTCTGGTTAATTAGTATATATAGGGTAGATTGTTTTCGGCCAATTTGCTAGGTTGTTTGACAAATTTTAAACTTAATTTGGAACCCATGCATATGCATATATGGATGGATGCATCGATATTTATATTTATATATAATTGGCCATCGAGCAAGAAGGCAGGTTACCCTTTGCCTATGAATGCATGGCACTGGAGTCGTTGTGCTGCTCGGACATTGACATATATTCCTGGTTTCCTCTCTCGGATCGATCGGAAATATCGATCAAGCAGGACCAGGCGAACATTTCTCTCATTTTACTTGTTTGTGGTTTAGAACTCACTCCAATCCATGTTTTATTTGTTTGTGTTTTGGATCTCTCTCCGATCTATTTAAGGCTTTGTCTGGATGCATATGTAAAGTGGATCGAGATGCCACTTCAATAGATGTGAATTGAGGTTGATACATATGCATTTAAACAAGCCCTTTATTCATTTGTGTTTTGGAACTCTCTCATATCCATGTTTTTGTGTTTGGATTTCTCTCCGATCCTTATTTGTTTGTGCTTTGGAACTCTCTCCGATCCATGTGTTTTGTGTTTTGGATCTCTCTCTGATCCATGCAGTCTAGTCTGCTATGGCTGGCTGAATTAAGTAGTTCGCTGAATTAAGTTCTAGTGTTTCTTGCTATTTTGGTTTTCAGGCTACGACTCGTCTATAAAAATGTGTGGTTCCTGTGTCTCCATTACTCTCACTTGTGAGGAGAACAAAAATAATAATAAGATGAAAATGTAAATTAACTGTAATCCAATATTATAATATAATAGCCACCTTAATAAGATGACAATGTAAATTAGTATATATTATCCAAAATCATGCGCTGAACGGACAAACTGATGTTAGTTTTGGAACTGCTGATCGATCATTGGAAACAATGCACATTACCATATTAGGATTGGAAACTTAACAGAAGAAAGCAAAAATCTGAATTCATTCATAAGAGGAAGAACAGAAATGAAGACAATTTTTTTTGAAAAGCAACCGATAATTTATTTTATTAAGAAACAGGAGGGGTAGCCCCCTACTGATTTAAAATATATTAATAACAGAAGAAGAAAATGTTAATGATAACATACTAGAAGAAGAAGAAAAAGATCTAGAAAGGTATATTTGTACAAACTTTTCATTTGGGCAATTCTATGACTGTAAAAAGAGATCTAATAAATAAATAAAGATAAAGAAACAGTAAAAAATTAAAATTTTCTTGTTTCAAACCATGACGCTATCCATGCGTTGAGTCAACCACAGACCAGAAGGCCTGGGTGGTCCTCTTCCAGGCTGGCCTGGATTCCATCAATCCGGCTGGGCTGGTGGATCCCTTCTATTAATTATTCCTCTTATGAGATTTATGCCTTTAAACTTCACAGATTTAAAAATAATCCATGATACTGGAACCATATTACCACTAAAAAATTCTAGGTTTTCACTACCTCCGATCATAATTAGATGACATTTTGTCTTGTAGTTAGTTACTTTTTGCAGTCCGAAAACGTCATCTATTTATGACTGGAGGGTGCAGTACAGAATTTCATGATATTTCTATCGGTGTTTCTCTATAATGGCGTATTTCCCATTTTATGAATAGTAGTGGCTTATTTCAAAACTTTAAGATTTATAATGATGTGAATCTAATTGTATACCAGGGGCTTATCCATTCTCAGTCACCCTGTTTAGCTTTCCACAACATTGCTCCCTTGCTTCATTTCTTACCTGTCATACGGAAATCGTTTCATTTCTTACCTGTCATGTGAAATATATTGCGCTCTATGTATGTGCTCATTTCCAATTTCTTGCAGCTCTAATGCCAAAAGAACAGGATGGATCCCCCAAGGTGCGCCACCCAGAATTCCAAAGGATGCGCGTAACTCTCACCATAGGCGTCATTGGTCTCTGTGTCACAGCATACATTCTTGGTGCTTGGCAAGGCACCTCAAACGGCATTAGCTCTTCCTTAATAAGTACGAGAACCCAGTGCAAAGATCATGTGCGGTCATCTGGTGCTCGCCTTGATTTCCAAGCCCACCACCAGGTGGGCTTCAATGAATCGGCGCTCGCGGTGGAGAAATTCCCACCTTGCCAGCTCAAGTACAGTGAGTATACCCCTTGCCAAGATCCAAGGAGGGCTAGGAAGTTCCCAAAGAAAATGATGCAGTACAGGGAGCGGCACTGCCCAAAGAAACAGGACATGCTCCGATGCTTGATCCCTGCGCCTCCAAACTATAACAACCCCTCCAGTGGCCAAAAAGTCGCGACTATGCTTGGTTCAATAACATCCCTCATCGGGAGCTCAGTATTGAGAAGGCTGTTTAGAACTGGATTCATGTCGAGGGAGACCTGCTTAGATTCCCTGGAGGTGGCACCATGTTCCCACATGGTGCCGATGCTTATATTGATGACATAAATGCCCTTGTACCATTAAATGAAGGCAACATCCGAACTGCGCTTGATACTGGATGTGGGGTGAGTGACTGGAGCAATGTTTCTATGATATTGTCTGTGATTCCTTCTCAGGATTTGGGGATGATAGTATCTTTGCTGCTGTACAGGTTGCAAGCTGGGGTGCTTATCTTATGAAGAGGAACATCATCACCATGTCTTTTGCGCCAAGGGATTCTCATGAGGCACAGGTACAGTTTGCATTGGAACGGGGGGTACCAGCCATGATTGGAGTGATAGGGACTGAAAGAATCCCATATCCCGCTAGAGCATTTGACATGGCGCACTGCTCTAGATGTTTGATCCCATGGAATAAGCTTGGTAAACTTGTTTCCTTATTTGTTACGGCTTGCAGTTACATTACATCGAACACAAACTGATTAAGATAATTCCACATGATTTGTCTGAATAGACGGCATCTATCTAATTGAAGTGGACAGAGTTCTTAGACCAGGGGGCTACTGGATCCTCTCTGGGCCTCCAATCCACTGGAAGAGGCACTACAAGGGGTGGGAGAGGACAGAAGAAGACCTGAAGCAAGAGCAAGATGAGATTGAGGACTTGGCAAAACGGCTCTGCTGGAAGAAGGTCATAGAGAAAGGTGATCTTGCTATATGGCAGAAACCTATCAATCATGTAGAATGTGTTGACAGTAGGAAGGTCTATGATGCTCCGCAGATTTGTAAGAGCAATGATGTCGATTCTGCTTGGTAAGATTTCTGCTGCTTTACTCTCTTTTTGTGAAGTGTTTGCTCAATTGGTTGCAGCAGCTCATCCTGATCTGAACAATTTAGGTACAAGAAGATGGACACTTGCATATCTCCTCTCCCAGATGTGAAGAGTGAAGATGAAGTTGCTGGTGGAGCCCTTGAGAGATGGCCAAAAAGGGCATTTGCTGTTCCCCCAAGAATAATTCGCGGTTCAGTTCCAGGCTTCACCCCTAAGAAGTTCCAAGAGGATAACAAGGTGTGGTCAGAGAGAGTGAATCACTACAAGAAATTGATTCCACCACTGGGCAAAAGACGATACAGGAACGTGATGGACATGAATGCAGGGATAGGGGGTTTTGCAGCTGCATTGATGGAGTACCCTCTTTGGGTGATGAATGTTGTGCCTTCAGGCTTGGCCCATGACACCCTCGGTGTTATTTATGAACGAGGGTTTATTGGCACCTACCTGGACTGGTGTGAGGCTTTCTCAACGTACCCAAGGACCTACGACCTTATCCATGCTGATAAAATTTTCAGCAGTTACCAGGATAGGTAAGGAATATCTTTGCTGTTCAGTTTTGCTCTAGAAATTTTCTTTCCTGCATTCACTTCATACAAGACGTGTGGTTTTCTGTGTGATGTCTTTCTTTTCTGAGGGCCTTCTTTGGTAACAAGGTTGTAAAATGTCCAGCTTAAGCAAGTAAATACTAACGATGGAGTGGTCGCAGGTGTGACATAACGTACATCCTACTGGAGATGGATCGGATTCTAAGGCCTGAAGGGACTGTGATCATCAGGGACAACGTGGAGGTGTTGGTGAAGGTACAAGCTATCACTGGAGGCATGAGGTGGAAGAGCCAAATCATGGACCTCTCTGGTCCATTTAACCCTGACAAGATCCTAGTGGCAGTCAAAACTTACTGGACCGGGAAGCCCGTGGAAAAGCAATAATTGCCGCCTTGGTACTGTTTTTCATCTGCGAAAATCTAGACATGACTTGCTTGTCAGGTCTGTCTTCATTGCCATTTTTTAATCTAGCTTCAGGATATCTGTATATAGGAGGCATGTGGGCCATGTAGCTGGAATTGGTATCAAACATCTTCATTAGCCACATAGCATGTATGTGACACATTGCAATGGTGTATAAGATGTTCACTCATATTTTGATGCGCTATTGCAATCTAATAAGCTGATGCCTGATGTGACAAAAGGAGATTGTAACTGATAATATGTTCCTGTCAAAAATACGATGACAAGGTTGCGGTACAGACGAATTCTGTGATGAAGATTATACTATGGCCAAGTGCTGTGAAAAAAAAAACATAAAAACTCTCTGAACCGAAGATAGCGTCTCCATGCAGATGTGTGTGTGCCCAGATAATCTATTGGACCATCAAGACAACTAAAATGAGGGCTCAAGGCTCAGTAGGAAGCCCAGGCGGCTGCTTCAGGGAATGAGAGACCTGGAGGAGCTGGAGCTGATGCACCACCCTGATCAATGATACCAAAGTGTGCCAGGAGCTTCGTGATGAGGACGCCTGCGACATACGACAACCCGGAACTGCTGAATCCAATGGACAGGTAGTAGAGGAGGGTTGTGAAGTATGTCCTGGGCCTCTTAACATGCGCCTTTCCAATTGCGAGCAGCGCTATGCACAGGAGAGATACAGCAGCGACCACCAACATTTTGTTCTCTCTGTTGTCACTCGTCCTGAATGACAGTCCGTAGATGACTGGTGGCAGCAGCCCGAACAGGATGTATGACAGTATGGCTATCACCATGTGCAACTGGTACTTTGATCGCCTTCCCAGCTCTAGCCAGTAGTGCCCCACTTGCTCACTGCTTTCAGCTACATCTCCTGTGTTTCGCAGATCAGCAATCTGTTTGTGACAAAGGAACCTTCAATTTGTGAGATGTCTGTCTTGCATGGTCATCGCAAAGAGATTGTGTAAAATTCAGGCAAGAACAGTATGTTACATTGTGGTAAATTACAGGAAGTCCACCAATAAGGTTTGCTATACCCAAGATGAATAGATCCACTGCAGATGAACAACATAATAGCATTAAAACAAGGGGAATTTGGGTGATGCCATCCAATTAATGCAAGAACCAAGAAAGAAACTTACAAGTCTTGGCACCACTTGCTGCTGCTGCTGATACAACTGAGAGGCTTGTGATTGATTCAACAAGGCCACCATACACTATTGCTTTCAGTATATCCCATTCATCCCTTGGAGCTGATGATGCAGGAACTGGTATCTCAGCCTCAGGGACTGCCAATACTGTATGAGGTGGAGCTTCTGGCTCAGCTGGTTGACGAATAACTGAAATTGGTTTCTCAACCATCTGGCTGTCCAATCCTGCAGGCCGTCATCATTTACTATATAAACAAAATAATCTCAAATACTGTGGTACAATACTGTATGAGGTGGAGCCAAATGTAGCTTAATTAATTTTGTGCATATGAACACTACATGTAAAATGAGCCTCGGAATACTGTGAACGAGATATATGACAAGCAAATACACCATACCCGGCAAAACTTTTATTGGTAGTACTGGCTCAAAAAATGGTTGGCTGAAAAATGGGCTGTTATCAGAGGGTGCCGTTATACCTTCCAGAATATCTGTAACAAGAAAACAAAAATGTTACCAATGCAAGCATGCATATTCTATTGATATAGTTTATACAAATTAACAGATCTACCTTATTTTTTACCTAGGTGCATCGAATCAGTCGCAGTATCACCAGAAGGCTGCGAGAGAGGAATTTGCTCTTGGCTTGCTCCGTTTCGCTGCACAGCTACCACATTTCCTGCCTCTATTTGCGTGAATTCTGCATAAGAGGTTTATAATTTTTTGTTACTCTTTTTCATCACATTCTAATGCTAGGTGTCTTAAACAAACTGTGGTGCTGCAAGTAACATGTGTAAGTTAATGAGTCTAATTTCCTGATAGTTGTTGTCTAATTAATCAGACCTACCTTCTTTGTGACCTAGACTGGTATCAGTTTTAGTATCACCAGCAGGCTGTGAGAGAGGAATTTGTTCTTGGTGCGCTCCGTATTGCTGCACATTTACAACATGTACTGACTCTATCTTCGTGGATCCTGCATAAGAGGTTTATACTTTTTTCGTTACTCTCTTTCATCACATTGATGAACTAGCTGATTATACTAGTTCTGAACATTGAGGCACTAGCTGATTATACTAGTTCTGAACAAACTGCAACATGGGTAGTTAGTGAGGCTAAATTTCCTGACTTATTATCTGGTTATTTCTAATGAAAAAAGAAAAGAGTGTTACTGCATAAGTATTAAGCTCCGTGTAACATGGTAATATCTTACCATTTCAGCAGCATCACAGCATTATTGTTTTTTTTATTAAGGAAAAACTTTAGAATTACTCCACAGTTTGCAAGTAGAAATTTCAGACGTCAAAACAACATGGTAGCTTTACTGGCACAGCCTCTAGGGCTCTAGGCAGCTATAGATTACCTGACATGCCAATAAAATTGTGCTTTCTGAACCCAAAAATATTATTATCCCATAGCTGGGTGCTCATGATGGCATGTTCTATAGAGAAACAAACCTGTCACGACTGTAGATGATGCGTGGAATTGACTGAACGACTGTTTTACTTCATTCGTAGCAGTTGTAGTTTGGGATCCAGCTGGTGATGGTTTCTTCGATTGTTCTGCTGGTGTGTTGTCTTCAACTGAAGTTAGAGGATCGGTCCTCTGTGAATCACTTAATAATGGCTCCTCCAATGAATCTGTAACATACTTGTTGATCAGAACCTTAGCATGTATTACTACCCTTCAGACTACAGTGCTCATCAAAAAGTTACTTTATAGTTCGTAACAATGCCATTGGTCGAGAAACTGTCATATGCTCATAGCACCAAAAGTAAGACACCAATGCTGTAATTCCTTCATGAGCTTCTGATGGTAACGAGCAGAAGAAAAAAAAGAACACTTATAAAGAGGAACATTTGTTACTCTGGGAAAGCCTGGTAACTTTTTTTCGTTCAAAAAAAAGCCTTGTAACTTTTTTTTAACAAATAAAGCCTGGGAACTTTTAAAGTATGGTAGATTAAACTATAATGCAAATCAACCTGGGTTTTGTACTACAGTGATGCTACTAGGAAAACACCCTGAAGTACATTATACATTACAATACCTGCATTATTTGATGGCTTTGGACTATCTGCTGTCTGGAAACAAGAAAGAAGCCAACTTCCACAGTTTTCAGACGTCTGTTGTGAAGCAGAAGAATGCTGAACTTGAACTTGTTGGTTTATATCCCTCCTTTCAAATATACGGAATATATTAAAATTGCAACCTGGTGGCAACAGAAATATTAAACTGGCACATTAGAAATAATATCTACTAGTAATAACTGTAGAAGCACAGGTACATGGAGTTGTGATTAAAACTAAGATAGGAAACTACAGTCAACACTGAGGTGTCATAGCACAAATACCTAAATATGTTTTATCTATCTCATTCTTCCAACAAGAAACTTACTTATGTATGGATCAAATCATGCAAGGCTTTCAGTCTTGTTTCTTGTACAGTTAAGGTACCCATGTTTAATTAACCATGATCTACATATCTCAAACTACAGAAGAAATAATTTCTGATTTATTATTTGTAGATCTACAGCCATAAGTACTCATGTACTGATGCTAATTGAGCTTAATTGAAAGCATGATTGCCTGGGAGAAAAAGACTAAAAAATATAAACGTTCAGATGTAAATAATAACTCAGATATTAGTTGATGAAAAGGAGGAAGGCACATGTAATGCGTGGAGGCAAGTTAAGTGATACCTGTTGGGATGAAGAAAGTGAAGCATAGCAAGCATCTAAATACTTCGGGCGAGTGTTCATCCACTGTTTGTCTTGGAACATTGGCAGAAGGCTCTACAAGCTGTGGTCTTTTTGGTGGTTCCTTACGTGCATCTGGTCTTACTGTTCTCTTTCTCTTTTTAAGGATGACCCTTCGAGTTATGCAGGATTTGCAGTTGGGGCAATAGAGGTCATGGGTTTCTTGCTCGTCCAGAATCTTCTCAAGATCATACTCTTCAACTTTCACTTCACCCTTAGTGACAATTTCATCCTTCTCAACTTCAATTTCATGAACTTCAGATGCAGTCGTGCTGCCACTGGAAACGTCAACAGAACCACTCCAGTTTGGCAAGATGTGTCTAGCATCACGGATGGTTGTAATCAGTTTCAGTCCATCTGCAATGGTCACGGTTTCACTGCTGCTGGAGATCTCATGCACACCATTAGAGTGTGAACCATTTTCCAATTTGCCATTGTTTGAACTGTGGTTAGTTTCTTGAGCGCTGACGTTGTCCTGTTTCTCAATCTCTTTGCTTTGTGCACCTGAAGTTTCGTTTGCGTTTTCCTTTTGGCCACCAACTTCTGTAACTTGGTTCTCAGCACCTAGTTCAGTAGCATGACCAGAGACTGAAAAAGAAATTAGAGTAGCGATGTCAGTAGTACTAGCTGAAACATTGAGAAGCTACTCTTTTGTTTGGCATATGTAGAGATTCTGTTTTGTGCTGTAAGACCTTTGGGAAGAGAGGACAGGACATGAAAAGAAAATCAAGCCGGACTGACGAATAAATGAAAAGAAAGTTTGAGAAGCTAATCGCTAGGTAGTGGTACCCATCCTACGTGTGTGAGCATTCAAGACTAACCTCTGTGTGGCGGATAATATAATGGTTTGTTGTGAACTAACGAATCAAGATTGCTGGCAATTTTGCAGTGTCCCTGATGGTCGAGGATATCAACTGTGCACGGACCACTCAAGCGGTGAGTCCAATCGCAGTGCCGGCACTTCCATAGACCTTCAGTCAAGAAATGGAAAGATAATTTTATGATGTGCTGTCTAACCTTGCACGAAGTTTTATCTGCATCCCTGTTTTCTTTTCTTGTGCAG